TGAATTATTATTCATAATGGCTTTAAAAAGCATAAATACCCCTGGACCCACTTTACATTTTGTCTTGTTAGAGACCATAAAGTTCAAAACATTTTACTGAGCTCTGATGTGACGGACAAACTCAAAGTGGAAATCGATTGTGAGGTGGAAGGAAAATAATACCAGGTACTCAGATTTTTTTTACCCAGTGGTCTTTCAGAACAGATAGATTCAAGCTTGAAGGGTAAAACCAGACTTTGACTAGGCCAGCACATGTAAAGGTTGGTATAAACCATCCAACAGCAGCTCTAGTTCTCTGTTCTAGAGGTATACTGTGGGCCTGCATGAGGTTTTATTCCGAATTGGGTTATCAACAGCTTTCCTGTCAATGCATCCCCCCCAAACATGATGCTGCCACTACCATGCTTTATTCTGATCTTGGCTAATTAAGTTTTACATATTGGTCAAAAATTTGTCTAAACAGTATCTGCTGTCCAATAGGAGAATCACACTCGTCCCTATAACGGAGGATGAGTCGAGCTTGGTACAGCTGAAGGGAATGACCGGATGGAAGGATGCTGGGAACGCTGGAGCGTAGTGCAGCCATAGCCTCAGGATGAGAGACCGTAACCGGCTTTGCAGAGCACGGCCGCCAGCGCTTAAACCCAGTTAATCTGATTGGATTAACGGCAGGACTGCCCAACCAAAGAAAAAAAAAAACTGTGTGTTTATGAACGTGCAAGCCCGCAGACACGAAGCGACATGCATGGATTTGTAGCTCAGGGGCCAATCAGCTGGGACGGCATCTGCAGCTTCCTAGAGTTCATCTGGATTTGATGTTGTGCTGGCTGCTGACACCACGCCAGGCTACCACATCCACATGCATCCGCTCTCATGCCCCCTGACCAACCTACCCCCCTCCACCACCACGCCTGTGCTCATTCAGAGCCATCATAGAGTGCAGAGATTTGTGCAGTGAATCTGAAACAAACCCACTGACAGAAGAGGAATGCCCAGTGTTTGACAAGCGTGATAATTGACCAGCCCCCTCCCCAGCAATGAAGCTAAATGCCCCCCCTCCCCAATCTTTTATCTTTTCACTCACTCTCTGACAGCTCCTCTCTTGTCTCATCCTCTTCATTGCCTTCTCTGTCGCCTCTCTCCTTGCCGGCGCCCCCTTTCCCCCGCCACACACTCACACATGTAATCACTCATTAGAACCAAGGCAGTTGTCCATTAGGCAAAGCAGCCATTTTGGAAATTGCAGCAAATCTTCCATGAAAAGACATTCCATCTAATGCGGCAGTCACGCTCGGAGGGAGAGGGAGAGAAAGATGGCAAAGGAGGGAGAGGAAGGAAGACAAGAGGGCAGAGATGGAGGGAGGTTATGAAGAGAGGGGGAGTGAAAGAAGAGACAGAAAGAGAGAGGGAAAAAAGCAAGCCTGCTTTTTGATTATGAAGTGACACCATCAGGAAGGATGGAGGGAAGGATGGCAGAAAGGAGAGAGGGGGTGTTTTATAGGAGGCGAGAGAGAAGGGAGTGAAGGGGGGTGATCAGAGAGAACGTTGATATGGAGGCAGTAAAATTAGACCCGTCACTTTGCTTACCAAGCCACTCTCTAATGGAGCGCGCAGGATTTAAAGAACACTTAGAAGATGTGTGGAAGCTTGAAAAGGACAGCTGCTAACCCCCCCCCCCAATAAAGCATGTCTATAATTTGACTAAAGTGATAGGAACCTCCTTAACCAATTACAATTCTCGTCTCTTAAAGCCTGCATTAAGGCCCGTTTGTAGCAATCATCTCTGAATGTGTGTGTGTCCGAGGGACGAACGGGGAACATTAAACCGTTTACGAGATGTTTGACAGGACTGATGGTCTGTGAGCGGCGCTCTCCCACATCACCGTCCACCTCTGCCTCACCCAATCATAGACAGATCCATCATGCAATTCTCATCTAACCCCCCCAGCCACCTGATCCCCCTCTAGCGGAGGTATTCCCACCGGTTGATCTCTTGCTCTTTCTTCCAAAATGGTCTAAAAACACAGCATTTAATTTGTTTTAGACCACAGCATGATGCTCCCACTACCATGTAAGGCAGTTGTGTCAGTTTCCAAATCTTGCTTAGCAGATTAGTCCAAAAATATTTAAGTTGTGATGCTAACGTTCCTCATGTATGTTGCAAACAAGAGTAAAGTTCACTCTTCATTTTCTCTAATACCTTAGGAATCAATTGCATAATTATCAGACTATGTAAGGCAATAAAAAGTAACTAACATTAGGGATTACTTTCTGTACTTTCTTTTCTGTTAGGAGTCGAAAGCATTTTTAAGCATTTTGAGTGCAGCTGGTTAGTTTATAAAGATACACTTTAAATTAACATGCATAACTATGCAGTCAAGCTACTCAGTGTCTGGATGCTTTTAGCGGTTTTTATTTATTTATTTAGTAGATGTATTATTCTAAAAGAGTCGGAACATCTGGTTGTCAAAAACAATCCTAAAATTGTTGGATTCAAACTTGCATTTTGCAGCAGTTTGAATCATTTGCGTGAAAAATCCAGTTGACAGCTGCAGGAGAACTCAGCTGCAGACAGAGAGAGGGAGGGAGGGAGGGAGATGATGGATCTCAGCACATGGCCCGCCGCCGCATGGTCGAACATTTCTGGTTGAGCGCGTTTCTCTTTCCTGCTTCTCATAAGTACAGATCCCACTCCAAAAAAACAAAAACAACATCGCCACTTCCTCAGAGAAGTGAGCAGATGTTCTGCGTGTGCGAGGCCTGTGTGTCACCAGGGGTATGTTTCCTCCATGCTGACAAAACGCACAGCTGATCTGAAAAGGCTGTGCGGACGACGCTGCTGCCACGTAAAATCATCTCTCAGGAACACGGCCGATCTTTTTCCACACTTTCGCCCGAAGATAAACTCTCCCCGCGTGACGGAACCAAAACAATGAGCTCAGCCAGAAAGAAAATAAAGAAAAATAAGACAAAACGAGGGGCAGACGCAGATATGACAGCGAGAGAATGTGCTTCTAGTTTCCATTGTTGCTTTGCACATAATGTGGAGAGGCATTGCTTTTCTTCAGGGCGTTATTAAGCTTATAATTTGTTGTTTCTCCTGTCAGGACGGATCAGATAGCTGATTAAATCTGAGGGGAGAGGCTGTCCCTGTGTGCGGATCTTTTCCGCTCCTCATGCTACTGCAGGCTGCACAGGAGTGCGGGCAAATACTTCCAAACAGAGCTCACAAAGTGATGAAAAGCCTGTTTATCCCGCGTGCGCCTGCGAGCTCTCGGCTGGGGACACTCAGTGACCGAGCACGTTATCGCCTCTGACTGGGGGGAGAGACCACAGGAGTCAGAGCGGAAAACACCAGGGTTAATGTGTGCATGTGTGTGGATTAGAACAAATACCCCCCCCCCCCAAACAGCTCCAGACCAATCCTGCAGTCTGAAGCATCAGTCTTTCACCCAGAACAAATTTGAGCATTACTTCCCAAACCTCCACTGTCTTATTGATCCATAACTCTGAAAAAAAGAAAAGATATTGACCAACCAAGCGCACCCTTCAGCCACGAGGGTGCAGTGAAATGGAAGCTGATGCAGCCGTCAATATGTCTGATTGAAGGATGCTGCATGTGGGCTTCCAACAACGAGGAGAAAGTGGGTTACACCCTGCTAAGAATCTGCATCGCAGTCTGGGTCCCTCGCAGTCAAAACAAGAGATTATCGCCCCGCGAGGAAATCAGCAGAAACCTCGGTGTGTAATTTGGTGGGAAGGAAACCTCTGATTGGCATCCATCAACAAATGTCAAGATCTCCTGTGGCGTCTGCGACGGCACGGCCCCGGAAACGTCAATCACTCCCTCCGTCACCCCGTCTCCATTATGGTCCCATCATACTTCAAAAGGATGAAATCGATTCTGGCGCGTTCTTCTTTGATTGAAAACACCCTCCCATCCAGTAATAAGAAGGCATCCATTACTGAATCAACTGTTTGATGCATTAAGTTAGAGGCCGATAAACTGCTAAATAACGTTCTGCTGACGAGTGATGCACCGATTAATGGGCCTGTCGATCGTTATCGGCCAGAAAAAGCCCCATCAGTGCATCTCTAGTCAAATCAATTAAACGTGTAAAGGGTTAATACAAAGAAAATATAAAAGGCTTCGGGGAATTGTTTGTATTTACATCCATTTTCTGTCACGCTTATCCCAAGCGGGGATATACTTACAAAAACATTTCTTCTGAATTATAATTATACCTAATCAAACTTTCTGTTTTTTTAGCTGATATTTATGAATCCAACAAAAAAAAAAGAAAAAATAACATCATTCTAATTTATTTCTTAAAGCAAGCATCTATAAGCTTTAACTGTTTTCCCTGCATTAAAAAGAAAGTTGATCAAAATACACTGAAAAAAAATGACACAACAGCTTTTAGCTTTTACTTAAGCATATTTAGTTACTTTAACACACCTGTTTTATGTCCTACCCTGCTAAAATAAAAAAAAGTGTTAAAGTAAATGCCAAAAATTGATGCAGAATTTTTTCAGTGTATATGCTTGTTTCAGTGCCTCTGATTTGATTTATTTCACTTCATTTTTTTTTTTTTTACTGGATTCAAAACCACTACCCCTATGAAACAACCTGCAGCCCTCATTTATTCTTCCATGCATTTTTTTATTCCTTAAAAAAAATATAAATATGAAAGCAGAAGCAGTACTGGTCCAGAAATGCCTCATCTCAACATTTTGATAGATGAAATAATAATAAAAAGTTATTTTTTACTTTATTATCTTACTTCTGGTTCAATATAAATTAAAATTAACTTAATAAAATACAAGAAATGATAAAGACATTAACTAATAACCCTGCTGCTTATTAGTTAATATCTGTGTTATTATGTAGTTATTAACAGTTTTCTGGGTGTAGAAGCAAACTGAACCCATCCGGACCATCAGAACCAGGCGGATCGGGCTGCTGTTTTTATTTGGAAGTGATTTAGTTCTGGGTTTACCTCTGGTTCTTCTGCTTGTTCTCCTTCTTGTTGAGGACCCCCGGCACGCAGTTGGTGAGCTCGGTCCAGTCGGCGTGCAAGCCGCAGCTCCAGCCGGTGGAGAACCGGGAGAAGAGCCAGGTCTCCTTGCGGTTCGGTCGGTAGCAGGTACACTTCTTCTGACCCGGTCTGCAGTCGCAGGGAACCTCCAGGCGGACATTCTGGACCAGGTGCCGACCGAAGGTGGTCCCTCCTGTCTTCTGGATGTGCAGAAACACGATCACGTCCTCCCCCTTGATCTGAAAATCAACCGTCCTCTCCAGGTCCCTGACCGGGAAGTAGTATTTCTTAACGTAGTGGGGGTCCGGAGTGGGGAAGATGTCCCCCTCGTCGTCCTCCGCGAAGTAACCGTGCGGGGAGCCGAAATTGATCACCCCGGGGGCCACGTACTGATAGAGAATCAGCATAAAACACACAGATCCGACGACGATCAACAAGAATTTGCTGCTCCTCTCGACCATGATCCTTCCCAGTGCGGTGGTCCCTGCAGCGCGCTACCATTTCCCAGTCCAGCCGGCCACAGAGAGCTTCATGCTCGCCCTCTCACAGCTCGTCGTAGGGTCTCAAACGTGTCTGACTTCGCTTCGAGGCGAGCGGCGAAGTTGGTTCATGGTTCTGTGAGCGCGTTCAACTCAACATTGTAGAAAGTCGCTGAAAGCCCACCCATCAGCGGCAGACCCCCTTTTCCCCTGCCGAGTACTTTCCGCTGGTCTCCGCTCAACACAACAGGCTCACTGCATCACAGCGGAGCTATGTGTACCCAGGATGCAGCGCGACACCCACCTTTTCAACCTCTCTCTCCGAAAACACGCTGAAAGGGAGAGTGGCTTTTAATTTATTGGTTAACGGGCCACGGCGGCGTCAGACAGAACGAACCAAACAAGTAAACCTTCCAACACAAGAAACGATTTCAAACAGGGATTTCTTTCTTGTTTTATTTAGCGTGTTTTGAATTGTTTAGAATAGGATCTGTAATTTTC